AGGTCAATCTTTAGCTTTCTAAGGACCCTCCAGACTGCTTTCCAAAGTGGTTGTATAAGTGTACATTCCCACCAGCAGTGTAATAGGGTTCCTCTTTGGTGGAGGGGTTTTTTATATAGCCTTGTAGAAGAAAATAATAATAATTTTTCCTCCTCTGAGGACTAATGCTAGAGTCTCAAGCATACTCTATCACTGTATACATTGAGCCTAATAATGATAATTCTAATGTTTCCATTTATAAAAATTAATTGTGTCTTTCTGTATCAGGTAGTAGAACTACAAAATAGATTATCTGAAGAATCAAAGAAAGCAGATAAATTGGATTTTGAATACAAGCGACTAAAAGAGAAAGTAGACAGTCTTCAAAAAGAAAAGGATGTGAGTATATGTATTAGGTATTTTTGTTTTCAGAATTGCTGAAATTAACACAATGATAATTATATTTTCATTATATTAATTCCTTTTTCTATATAAATAAAATTAAAAATTCTATTTTTAAACTTCAGAAATAACTAATTAAAAGATACAAAGCAGGGGCTGGGAAGGTAGCTCAGTGGTGGAGCACTTGCCTTGCATGCATGAGGCCCTGGGTTCGATTCCCCAGCACCACATAAGCAAAAAGAAAAAAAGCCAGAAGTGATGCTGTGGCTCAAGTGGTAGAGCACTAGCCTTGAGCTGAAGAGCTGAGGTATAGCGCCCAGGCCCAGAATTCAGGCCCCACGACCAGACCCAAAAAAAAAAAAGATACAAAGCATATTTTGCGTTTATTCAGATTCCTTTTAATACACCATTGTTGACCCTTTCAAATTGTGTTACTCTGTAAAATTGTGTAGCTTTTCTATTTCTTAGAATTAATAGAGAAGACAATCTTTTTATATTCAACATAGTTTGAATGTTAAAGGTATTTTTATTTCCATGATTTGTGAATATGAAGTCATCATTTTATTTTTATGAAAACTACGTTAAATAATTACTTATTGTTAAAAAAATGGAGTACATAGATTTGTTTCTTGTGTCTAAGTGTAGATTCCATGCTACCTTGTAATAGAAGATATTGTTTGAATCTTTTTCAGCTTCTGTATATGTCCATGTTGGGGTGGAGGAGTGTAGTTGTGGAGGTGGGAGGGAAGGGATGGTAGGGAAAATACAAAGGAGGAGACAACAATGCTTGATGGGAAATGTACTCATTATCTTGCTCATATAACTGTAACCCCTCTGTACAGTATTTTTACAATAAAAAACTTATTTTTAAAAAAAGAGGGAACAAAAGATAAAGCTCTATGTTGAAAATAAAACAATCTGTGGATAAAAAAAAATGTTCCATGTTGACTATTGTTTACTGTTTTGTTAGAAAGCAAAGAGCACTGATTACTTACTTCATAAAACTTGAAGCTAACCCTTCTTGGTTTTGTATCCCTCCAGAGGCTAAGAACAGAAAGAGATTCTCTGAAGGAAACTATTGAAGAACTTCGTTGTGTACAGGCGCAAGAAGGGCAGCTTACCACTCAAGGTAAAACATCTAAACAAGATCGTGTATTTTAATTTTAACAGTAAAAGTATTAGATTTACTTTAGCATAATTAATTTGCCACCTTAAAAAAATAAAAATGTAAACATCTTAGTTGTATTAGCTCAAAAGGGTCTGTTAATTTATCTCTCTTAACTTAGAAACTCAACTCTGAAAGATTTTCAGAACCTTTGTTTTTTTATTTTAAATATAGTTTTATTGTTATTAATATGTTGTACACAGGTATTACCATTTCATAAGTAGATAATGAGTTTCTTTTTGGACAGTGTCACCCCTTCCTTTGCTTTCCCCTAATTTCCCCCTCTCAAGACTTTTTATTTTTTATTTTTCATATTTTTTTGGGTCCGGTCGTGAGGCCTAAACTATGGGCCTGGGCACTGTCCCTCAGCTCTTCAGCTCAAGGCTAGC